CCCAAGACGACCCAAGAGACGCTCAAGGCGGCCCACGAGGGCCCGAAGACAGGCCCAAGAGGGGGCCAAGAGGGGGACCACGGACCGAAAATCCGAGATTTCCGCCCCAAGAGGGGGCCAGGAGGCCCAAACAGGCCCCTGAGACGCCCCAAGGGGCCGCCAAGAATCCCCCGAAGTGGCCCCAGGAGGCTCCCAAAGAGCCCAAACGAGGCCCCAACAGAGGCCCCAACAGCCTCCAAAATGACCCCACAGAAGCCTCGAGCCCGCCTCCGAGCTTCCTCGCCGCGAGGGTGCCAACACGGCCCCAGACGGGCCCAGGACGGCCCAAGGCGCGCTCCAGACGGCCCAAGGCGACTCCAAAACGGTACCAGGAGGGCGGGCCCAGGACGGCCCAAGGACGCGCCCGGTCGGGGCCTCACGACGGGCCAAGATGGCAAAAGAGTCCCAGCTCGCAAAAGTCGTTCATCTTCCATTGCTCACTGTCGCGCCCTTTGCGTTTCCCGCCATTTCGGCGGTCCGAGGCACCAAGAGGCCCCAGAAAGTTCCAGGAGGGTCAGAGGAAACGCCCAGGAAGGCCCCAAGACGGGCCAAGACGGACCCAGCACAACCCCAGGCGCGCTGCGACGGCTCAAGACGGCTCCAAGACAGCCCCGAGAGGGTGCCAACACGGCCCCTGCTGGGCCCAGGACGGCCCAAGGAGGCGCACAGGAGGGGCCCAAGACGATTCCAAGGCGGCCCCCTCACGGTCCTAGACGGCTCCAAGGCAGCCCCACGACTGTGCCAAGAAGGACCCCGATGGGCCCAGGACGACCTACGGACGCGCCACTGAGGGGCCCACGACGAACCAAGACGGCCCCATCACGGCAAACGGCGCCCTCAAGGCGGGCCTAGACGGCTCCAAGATGGCCCTTTGAGGGAGCCAACGCGGCCCCACACCCTTCGGGCGAACACTTGGGGGGGCTGGGAGCTTGCGACAAGTCTCCCACATTCATTGTCCTGCTTCATTCTGTTCGCCTGGAGGCCTCCTCCAACCCTGTGGGCGAACAAGAGGAAACCCAGCGGGCCGCCAACCCTGGGGCCCGTGGGCCCCGCGCCGCTTGGGCAGAAGACGAACGCCGGGTCTGACATGCCAGCTACCGCCCCCCTTTGCCCCATATGCTGTGCCATTCTGTTCCCCCAGGGGCCTTGGCAAACTCTTCGGGCCAACCAGACCGGATCCCTGGGACAGCAGCCAATTCATATGACCCAGGGACCTATCCGCTTTCTTCGGACGAGCACCTGGGGGGCCCAGGAGATTCGGACAAGTCCTCCCCATTCCTTCCCCTGTCCCGTTCTGTTCGCCCGAAGGCCTCCAGAGACCCTCTGGGCGAACATAATGGGACATGGCGAACAAACCCTCCCGTTGGCGGTGCTGCGACTGGATCGCACCATCAAGGCGTGCCCGGAGGTGATGGCCCACCCAACAGCGGTTTCTCTAACGATTTTACAGAATTCCAAATTTTCTTGAAGCTCTCTAGGGCCCTCCCTGTAGATCCTTGCGAGCCTCCACGGCGCTTTCGGTGGCTTTCCCCGATGGCCTCCCGAGCCCTTCCCCGGGCGCTCCTGAGACGCCTCAGATGGGCTTCGATTTCGACGCACATCCCCGAGAGACTGCGAAACTGCCCTCAATAGGAAGGGGGTGAACGAGCAGTGCGCTGAGCCAAGCTGCTGGAGCGCTGCAAGAGCTCGGGCACGAAGGCGCGGTCTCGCTGCCGCCGCCCGAGCCGCCGCCGTGTTTGTAGATTTTCGGTACAATCTGCGCCGTTCCTCCGAGAACCATTCCAGAAAGATGTCGTGGACGGAGTCCACGGGTCAGCCCTAGTCAGCTACAGTGCTGGGATCAGCGCGTGCGAGAAGGGCGAGCAGTGGTAGCGGGCTCTGTCGCTGCTCAGCGATATGTGGGAGTCGAGACTGAAGGCAACTTTGAGCAGCTACAGCGCTGGGATCAGGGCGTGCGAAACGGGCGAACAGTGGCAGCGGGTTCTGGCGCTGCTTAGCGAGCGGTGGGAGGAGAAGCTGGAGCCCATCATCATCATCATCATCATCATCATCATCATCATCATCATCAGCATCATCAGCATCATCAGCATCATCATCATCATCATCATCATCATCATCATCATCATCATCATCATCATCATAATAGTAATCATAATCATCACTAGCATCATCATCATCATCATCATCATCATCATCATCGTCATCAGCACATCATCATCATCATCAGTCGTTTCCTCCCTTTTGTGAAGGCCAGATGGTCAGGGTTTAGTAGCCTGGCTCGACATCTTCTGGCAAATACAGCTACCGTGCTTGAGCTTGAAGCCAAACACAGTGTCAAGAGGAAGCTCACAGAGCGCTTTACACGTGGTGTTTTCCCTAGGTCGGAAACTAAGGTGTCGTTCGTGTCAACGTCGGCCTGCCCCGCGTCACGCTGGAGACGGAACGGACCACGGGCGCCTGCAGCCCTTAAGGCAGGCGCGTCCCCGGGCAAGAGACACCCCACCATAATGGGTGCACTCGGCCCGTGGGGGTGGGCACATAATTCAAAGATGCTTGTGCCCTTGTTACAGTGTTTCGACAAGTTGTATTCGCTGTCACATTCTCCATATTCCATTCACTTGATTGTATTTTGTTGCGTTGTTTCGATAATACTGTATTCAGTGTTGCAAAGGCGGTTGTCTCTCATCAAGCGATTTGGTCAATCATCAGGCAAACTTCTGGTTATCAGCCGAAAGTCTCTCCAAGAGCTCGTCTTCGGCGGTGCAGCATTTTTCCCCAACGGCCAGAGTAGTAGCAGTGGTCGCTTTACCAAAGAGGGGGCTTCGCACGTGCGCTCTGATTGTGGTGCCCGAGAACCGGGATACGAAGTCGGCTCCGCCGTCCTGTGCTCCAGTCAGTGCTCTGGTCATGGGGGCGGGGGGTCGGACATTCAAGGAAAAAGGGGGCACTTGCGGCCAAGCCGCCAGGTGCCGACGATGTCACGAAAGAGGGGGCAGTCGTTTCCTCCCTTTTGTGAAGGCCAGATGGTCAGGGTTTAGTAGCCTGGCTCGACATTTTCTGGCAAATACAGCTACCGTGCTTGAAGCCAAACACAGTGTCAAGAGGAAGCTCACAGAGCGCTTTACACGTGGTGTTTTCCCTAGGTCGGAAACTAAGGTGTCGTTCGTGTCAACGTCGGCCTGCCCCGCGTCACGCTGGAGACGGAACGGACCACCGGCGCCTGCAGCCCTTAAGGCAGGCGCGTCCCCGGGCAAGAGACATCCCACCATAGTGGGTGCACTCGGCCCGTTGGGGTGGGCACATAATTCAAAGATGCTTGTGCCCTTGTTACAGTGTTTCGACAAGTTGTATTCGCTGTCACATTCTCCATATTCCACTCACTTGCTTGTACTTTGTTGCATTGTTTCGATAATACTGTATTCAGTGTTGCAAAGGCGGTTGTCTCTCATCAAGCGATTTTGTTAATCACCAGGCAAACTTCTTCATCATCATCGTCACCATCCTCATCATCAGCAGCAGCACCATCACCATCAGCATCACCATTATCATCACATCATTATCGTCGGTATCATCATCAGCATCACTATCACCATCATCATCATCACCATCACCATCATCGTCACCATCACCATCATCACCATCATCATCGTCATCATCATCATCATCGCCTCTGCAATGGCGGTTGTGGCGCGCGCGCCAGAAGGGCCCATTGGCCACCCTCCCCCCTTCCGCGGCGCCCTCGGGGCTCCGCCCCGTGGGGGCGCCGACGCCCTGCCCCGAGCGCGCGCCCCGCGCGTGCGCCGCCAGGCCCCGCGACGGCCCCTCCGCAGCGCCGGAGGGCCCCCAGACGGACCTCCTCCTCCATCCTCCATCCTCCCTCGCAAACTGGGGAGCTGCGTACATGGGAGGAGCCCTGCGCCGCCCCGAAGGCGCTTCCAAAGTGCCTTCGGCCCGACGTGGGCGCCCATGTCGCCCATGCCCATGTCGCCCACGTCGGCCACGTCGCCCACGTCGCCCCTTGCGCGAGAGCGCGCCGAACACTCTGTTCGGCGCCGCGTTCGCGCGGCGCCAGCGTTGAACGGGCATTTTTCCCGGAAAGGGCGGGGGCCCAGGGTTTTCTTTTAGTAGGTAAACCTGTCCCCCGGTGCCAACTTGAGGGAGGCCGGCGAATTTTTTCCCTGATAAATAACGAGGTCGAAGGAGGCCGGCGAATTAAAATATGAGGATGTCTCGAGCGAAACGCTTGTTTTTGAAATCCCGATCGATAAATCACAGGGTGCGGGCCACTTTTTCGTGTGTTGAGGATGTCTCGAGCGAAACGCTTGCTCCGCAGAGTTTGCCGAGTATGTCTCGAGCGAAACGCTTGTTTTGCAGAGCCGACCGCGACGCGGAAAAGCGCCCCGCGCGAAGGAATTTCAATGATGTCTCGACTAATTCGTTTGTTTTTGTACGATTTCCTGGAATTTTGGCAGGATGTCTCGAGCGAAATGCACGACCCCACCCTAGCACGACCATACCCCAGCACGACCACACCCCAGCACGACCAGACCCCAGCTCGACCCCACCCCAGCACGACCCCACCCCAGCACGACCATACCCCAGCACGACCACACCCCAGCACGACCCGACCCCAGCACGACCCTACCCCAGCAAGACCACACCCCAGCACGACCACTCCCCAGCTCGACCTCACCACAGCACGACCACACCCCAGCACGACCACGCCCCAGCACGACCACGCCCCAGCACGACCACGCCCCAGCACGACCACCCCCCAGCACGACCACCCCCCCAGCACGACCACACCCCACAGCACGACCACCCCCCAGCACGACCACACCCCAGCACGACCACACCCCAGCACGACCACACCCCAGCACGACCACACCCCAGCACGACCACACCCCAGCACGACCACACCCCAGCACGACCCCACCCCAGCACGACCCCACCCCAGCACGACCCCACCCTAGCAAGACCACACCCCAGCACGACCACACCCCAGCACGACCTCACCACAGCACGACCACACCCCAGCACGACCACGCCCCAGCACGACCACGCCCCAGCACGACCACGCCCCAGCACAACCACCCCCCAGCACGACCACCCCCCCATCACGACCACACCCCAGCACGACCACCCCCCAGCACGACCACACCCCAGCACGACCACTCCCCAGCACGACCACACCGCCTTGGTTGAGTGGTTGCCTGTCGTCGTGGACTGTTTCGCGGGGTGTCTCGTGGAATGTTTCGCGGGGTGTCTCGTGGAATGTTTCGTGAGGTGTCTCGCGGAATGTTTCGTGAGGTGTCTCGTGGGATGTTTCGTGAGGTGTCTCGTGGGATGTTTCGTGAGGTGTTGCCCCGTTGGGTATCGTGAAAACGTGCCCATGCTCCACATGTCTATATCCCTTTCCGGGTTCGTGGGTCCATCATGTTTGCGGCGGCGACCGCGTGGCCAGGGTGTCCCGCTGCAGGGGTCGTTCGGCCGTCCGCGCCAGGGCGCCCAACTCCGCAAAAGAGAATGCCCCGGCACGGGTTCCCCAAGGCTCCCATATGACTTCGTCCGTGATGGCCACGGGGACGAAGCATCATCGATCTTCTCGAGTTTGGTCCTGCATCCTCTTGTGCTCGCTCCTCTGGCCAGGAGGCGCCCAACCCACCCCGCGAAGCCTGCCAAAGCGTCCCCAGGGTGCCCAGGCAGCTCCCAAGAGAGACCTTCTGTCGGGGGTGGACAGAACCCCCAACAGTGACACGTCGATTAGTGAATTGCCCGTTTTCGGTTCTCGAGATGGCGCCGCGGCCGTTATTTTCCAGGCCTGCGCCCGCCAGGTTTGGGCCTCAGGTCGTTTTCACTAAACCACGTTTTGCTAAAGGGGGGTCTGTCCATCCCCGATTATGACGGCCCCGGAGACCCTCAAGACGCCTCTGGGGAATCCCAAGACGGCTGAACAGCCCCTCAGGACGGCCAACTCTCGGGGCGTGCCGCCCCCCCCCCCACGGCCAGCGGGCCCCCAAGAGGGCCGGACGGCGCTCAGGAGGCTCCCAAGAGGGCCCCGACGACGGCCCCAGAGGTCCTCAAGACGGCTCCAGGAACTCCCAAGACGGCCGAGCAGCCTCCCACTATGGCCCCAAGGGAGGCCCAGGAGGGCCAACTCTGGAGCGCTCCCCCTCACAGCTGCAGCTGGTGCTGCTAGCGCTGCTCTGGACGCCGTCAGGATCATCTGGCAAACAGCGCACCCTGGAGCAATGAGCAGCAGTAAGCGCACTCTGACCACTGGCACTTGTGCACGGTAGTCCACGGGTCAGCTCTAGTCATCATCAGCTACAATGCCAGGATCAGCGCATGCGGTAAGGGTGAGCATTGGCAGCGGGCTTTGTCGCTGCCCAGCTAGATGCGGAAGGCGAAGCTGAACCCCAACATCATCAGCTACTATGCTGGGATCAGCGCGTGCGAGAAGTGCGAGCAGTGGCAGCCAGCGCTGGTGCTGCTGAGCGAGATGCGGGAGCTGAAGCTGGAGCCCAACGTCATCTGCACTGCAATTCTTGGTGAAGCGCATGCGAGAAACGGTCTCCGCCGCTGTCGTCGTCACCGCCGTCGCTGTCGCCGCCGTCAACGCCGACTGACTCAAGTCGGTCAATCAGTCCCTGGACTTGTCCCTGTGGTCCACCCCCGCCAGCTTTGCGGGCTGCACCCAGCCCTGTCTGTGAGATCCCACATGAACGGCCGGGAACTTCTAATGCAGGCCATCGCTGTCGCCGTCGTCGTCGTCGTCGTCGTCGTCGTCGTCGTCGTCGTCGTCGTCGTCGTCAGCGGCGGTGTCGCCAGCGTCGCCGTCCTCGCAGTCGTCGCCGTCGTCGCCGTCGCCGTCCCCGTCCTCGCCGCCGCCGACATCGCCGTCGTCGACATCGCCGTCACCCTCGCCGTCTCCGTCGCCGCATCCGCCGCCGTCGTCGTCGTCGCCGCCGCCGCCGCTGTCGTCGTCGTCGTCGTCTTCGTCGCCGTCGTCGTCGTCGCCGCCGCCGCTGTCGTCGTCGTCGTCGTCGTCGTCGTCGTCGTCGTCGCCGTGCTCGCCGCCGCCGCCGCCGTAGTCGTCGGCGTCGTCGTCGTCGTCGGCGTCGTCGTCGTCGGCGGCGGCGGCGGCGGCGGCGTTGCCGCCCTCCCTTGCTGGGGCAGGGCGTGGCCCATCGGCACCAAGGCCGGCGGGCCGTGTGCCGTGCCCGACGAGGCCTGGCCGCCGCGGCCCCGCCGCGGAAGCGCCCGTCCCCGAGGTCGAGGAGGGAGCCCAGAGTTCTCCCCGCCGCGGAACATCACGACGGGATCCTTTCCTCCTCGGTTCAATGGAGAAGGTATCACGGCGGAAGGCTTTTCAGCCTTTTGGGGCCCTTACCGGGCCTCGGGACCGTCAAGAAACGAGACAGGATGAAACACCGGTCCCGGGGAATGAGTCGAGACCTTTGGGGTTCGACGTCACGAAAAGATCATGACGTCGGGGGTCTTGGGGGTCTGGGGAAACATATACTGGCGGGAACTTTCGGATAGCGTGGCGCTCCGCCGGTTCTGGCCCACCACGCTTTCGCGCGACACGCTATCCACGTCCAAGTCCCTCAGCATCACCGTCCCGAGCTTTTCCCGACCTCCCGCCCCGCGGAGCGGAGCGACATGCTATTTGCTTACAGGGCATAGCGTGTCGCTGGAGCCGCCGCAGCGACACGCTCAGCGAAGTTCCCGATCGTCGATGCTGGCAGGTTCCACTGGGTGGCATTCACGGTGCTCGATGTATGTGTGTGTGTGTGTGTGGGTGCGTGCGTGCGTGCGTGCGTGCGTGCGTGTGTGTGTGTGTGTGTGTGTGTGTTTGTGTGTGTGTGTGTGTGCGTGTGTGTGTGTGTTTGTTTGTTTGTTTGTTTGTTTGTTTGCGTGTGTGTGTGTGTGCGTGTGTGTGTGTGTGTGTGTGCGTGTGCGTGTGCGTCTGTGTTTGTGTTTTTCCCGGAAAGGGCGGGGGCCCAGGGTTCTCTTTTAGTAGGTAAACCTGTCCCCCGGTGCCAACTTGAGGGAGGCCGGCGAATTTTTTCCCTGATAAATAACGAGGTCGAAGGAGGCCGGCGAATTAAAATTTGAGGATGTCTCGAGCGAAACGCTTGTTTTTGAAATCCCGATCGATAAATCACAGGGTGCGGGCCACTTTTTCGTGTGTTGAGGATGTCTCGAGCGAAACGCTTGCTCCGCAGAGTTTGCCGAGGATGTCTCGAGCGAAACGCTTGTTTTGCAGAGCCGACCGCGACGCGGAAAAGCGCCCCGCGCGAAGGAATTTCGATGATGTCTCGACTAATTTGTTTGTTTTTGTACGATTTCCTGGAATTTTGGCAGGATGTCTCGAGCGAAATGCACGACCCCACCCTAGCACGACCATACCCCAGCACGACCACACCCCAGCACGACCAGACCCCAGCACGACCCCACCCCAGCACGACCCCACCCCAGCACGACCATACCCCAGCACGACCACACCCCAGCACGACCTGACCCCAGCACGACCCTACCCCAGCAAGACCACACCCCAGCACGACCACACCCCAGCACGACCTCACCACAGCACGACCACTCCCCAGCACGATCACGCCCCAGCACGACCACGCCCCAGCACGACCACTCCCCAGCACGACCACCTCCCAGCACGACCACCCCCCCAGCACGACCACCCCCCAGCACGACCACCCCCCCAGCACGACCACCCCCCAGCACGACCACACCCCAGCACGACCACACCCCAGCACGACCACTCCCCAGCACGACCACACCCCAGCACGACCACACCCCAGCACGAACACACCCAGCACGACCCAACCCCAGCACGACCCACGAGCCACAGCACGAACCCGAGATCGATAATCCAGGGTGGCGGATCACCCCAGCACGACCACACCCCTACACGACCTCACCCCAGCCCCCCCAGCACGGAACCCACACAACAGCTGGCAACTACTCCGACCACCACACGCCCCGCACTAACCAGCCCCAGCACGACACACCGTCCCCAGCACGACCGCCACCCCAGCACGACCCCACCCTAGCACGACCAACACCCAGCACGACCACACCCGCAGCACGAGAAAAAAACCCCAGAGACCCCATCACGATCACATGACCCCCAACACGACCCAAGAAAAAAAATAACACCCCAGCAGGACCACACCCCAGCACGACCCCACCCCAGCAAGACCACACCCCAGCACGACCACACCCCAGCACGACCTCACCACAGCACGACCACACCCCAGCACGACCACGCCCCAGCACGACCACGCCCCAGCACGACCACGCCCCAGCACAACCACCCCCCCGCACGACCACCCCCCCAGCACGACCACACCCCAGCACGACCACCCCCCAGCACGACCACACCCCAGCACGACCACTCCCCAGCACGACCACACCGCCTTGTTGAGTGGTTGCCTGTCGTCGTGGAATGTTTCGTGGGGTGTCTCGTGGAATGTTTCGCGGGGTGTCTCCTGGAATGTTTCGTGAGGTGTCTCGCGGAATGTTTCGTGAGGTGTCCTCGTGAATGTTTCGTAGGTGTCTCGTGGGATGTGGGCGAAGGTGTGTTGCCGCAGTTGGATCGCCTGCTAAACTTGTCCATGCTCCACATGTCTATATTCCTTTCCGGGTTCCGTGGGTCGATCATTTTGTTGTGTGTGTGTGCGAGTGTGTGTGTTTGTGCGTGTGCGTGTGCGTGCGTGTGTGTGTGTGTGTGTATGTGTGCGTGTGCGTGTGCGTGCGTATGTGTTTGTATTTTCCCGGAAAGGGCATGAGCCCAGGGTTCTCTTTTAGTTGGTAAACCTGTCCCCCGGTGCCAACTTGAGGGAGGCCGGCGAATTTTTTCCCTGATAAATAACGAGGTCGAAGGAGGCCGGCGAATTAAAATTTGAGGATGTCTCGAGCGAAACGCTTGTTTTTGAATTCCCGATCGATAAATCACAGGGTGCGGGCCACTTTTTCGTGTGTTGAGGATGTCTCGAGCGAAACGCTTGCTCCGCAGAGTTTGCCGAGGATGTCTCGAGCGAAACGCTTGTTTTGCAGAGCCGACCGCGACGCGGAAAAGCGCCCCGCGCGAAGGAATTTCGATGATGTCTCGACTATTCCTTTGTTTTTGTACGATTTCCTGGAATTTTGGCAGGATGTCTCGAGCGAAATGCACGACCCCACCCTAGCACGACCATACCCCAGCACGACCACACCCCAGCACGACCAGACCCCCGCACGACCCCACCCCAGCACGACCCCACCCCAGCACGACCATACCCCAGCACGACCACACCCCAGCACGACCCGACCCCAGCACGACCCTACCCCAGCAAGACCACACCCCAGCACGACCACACCCCAGCACGACCTCACCACAGCACGACCACACCCCAGCACGACCACGCCCCAGCACGACCACGCCCCAGCACGACCACGCCCCAGCACAACCACCCCCCAGCAAGACCACCCCCCCAGCACGACCACACCCCAGCACGACCACCCCCCAGCACGACCACACCCCAGCACGACCACTCCCCAGCACGACCACACCCCAGCACGACCACACCCCAGCACGACACACCCCAGCACGACCACACCCCAGCACGACCACACCCCAGCACGACCCGATCGATAAATCACAGGGTGCGGAGCACCCCAGCACGAACCCACCCCAGCACGACCCCACCCCAGCACGACCCCACCCCAGCACGACCACGCCCCAGCATGACCACACCCCAGCACGACCACACCCCAGCACGACCACTCCCCAGCACGACCCCACCCCAGCACGACCCCACCCTAGCACGACCACACCCCAGCACGACCACACCCCAGCACGTCCCCACCCCAGCACGATCACACCCCAGCACGACCCCACCCCAGCAAGACCACACCCCAGCACGACCGCACCCCAGCACGACCTAACCACAGCACGACCACACCCCAGCTCGACCACGCCCCAGCACGACCACGCCCACCTGGGCCTGGGGAAACCTCACGACCACGCCCCAGCACGACCACGCCCCAGCACGACCACGCCCCAGCACGACCACCCCTCAGCACGACCACCCCCCTAGCACGACCACCCCCCAGCACGACCACCCCCCAGCACGACCACACCCCAGCACGACCACACCGCCTTGGTTGAGTGGTTGCCTGTCGTCGTGGAATGTTTCGTGGGGTGTCTCGTGGAATGTTTCGCGGGGTGTCTCGTGAAATGTTTCGTGAGGTGTCTCGTGGAATGTTTCGTGAGGTGTCTCGTGGGCTGTTTCGTGATGTGTCTCGTGGGATGTTTCGTGAGGTGTTGCCCAGTTGGGTATCATGAAAACGTGTCCATGCTCCACATGTCTATATCCCTTTCCGGGTTCGTGGGTCCATCATGTTTCCCGGAAAGGGCGTGGGCCCAGGGTTCTCTTTTAGTATGTAAACATGTCCCCGGTGCCCAACTTGAAGGAGGCCGGCGAAATTTTTCCCTGATAAATATCGAGGTCGAAGGAGGCCGGCGAAATTATTTGTGAGGATGTCTCGAGCGAAACGCTTGTTTTTGAAATCCCGATTGATAAATCACAGGGTGCGGGCCACTTTTTCGTGCGTTGAGGATGTCTCGAGCGAAACGCTTGCTCCGCAGAGTTTGCCGAGGATGTCTCGAGCG